ATGCGCGCCTCGGCCATCCCTCTGGGACGCGCGTGGGCCCCGGGGGACTCGCACTGGGTCGTGAGAACCTCCAGCCCTTTCCCGTTCGCCGGCCCCTTTTCCCCACAGCTGGCGTTGAATTCTGCTAGAGCCGTCGAAGCGCCGCATTCATCCCCAGGGGGTGGCAGGGACCCGGGAAAGAATGATAGCGTTTGGGGAGCCATGCTCCACTTCTTCCTCTGGGGTGAGCTTCGCCTAGGTCGAGCAGTGCCCCTCTTCTGTTTTCTGAGAGCCATGGGGAGTAGGCGACCCGGGAATGGGACACCTCCTTTCAGTCCTGGGGCAGCTTAAGCTCTCTTGAAATTTTGGCTAGAAAGCACGCCACAGTTTGGGCTTGAGCTGAGCGCGCAGAAGCTGGCGCCGCACTCTCCCCACTCTTTTCCCTGAGGAATGGGGGTGGGGGGTCCCCCAGAGGGTTTGAGGACTGTGTCTTCTTGCTGCCTGCTGCCGCGGGGACCGTTCTCACCTTACTGCCTTATGTCCTGTCATTTACTTTACGGGGAATGGAGAAAGGGGCGACCCTGCTCCCTGCGGTTACCCCGGGGCAATGACCACCGGGTGTCCATGCAGAGACCCTTTGTACCCACCGGTCCCCATGGCTGGCACCCACAGATGGCCTGTTCTAGCTTAGCTTGCTCTTCAGACAAGGAGCTCAGACCTGATAGCCCTGCACTGAGGCTAATATCCTCTCCAAATGGACGTGAACCCCAAGGAGGAAATTGGATTTTTAAAAGCCTAATGACAGTGCTCAGTTTCTTCCCAATGTGGGGTTTGAGCTCTCCCTCCCTCTCCTAGGAAGCTTAATCTCATCTAAATGAAGAACTAGGAGGGGGCACTGAAAAAAAATGGCTCCTGAGCTTTGGTGACACCCCCAAATCAGAGACTGTGTCAAGCTAAGTGAGCGGACTTTGGGGTCGACCTTCGTTTTTCTGTGACATACAAGGTGGGTGTGTGGTGAGAGAGGGAGTGTTGGGTGCTGGATAGAGCCTAGATTCTCTCTTTGGGAACTTTGGGGGAAATGCATTCATAAAAGAGTCTGAAAAGGGTACCCCAACTTCTAAATTCCAGAACAAAAGGGGTCAATAGAAACTACAGGCATCTGGACTCTGTTTCTCTGGGAAGGGCTGAGCCAGCCCCAGCTCCGGTCCTGGTCAGAGGAGCCCCAGACCTTCCCCCAGGCAGAGGAGAACTAGCCCTTAGGGGTGCAAGTCCCTGGAGGAGTGAGAGGGACCTTTTCCCAGAGCAACGGGGCAAAATGGCTGAGCCTCCCTCGAGCCTCAGAAAGAAATTGTCAGGCAGGCGGCAAACAAAGAAAGCACTCTCTCTCCAGCCAAGCGCTGGCTCAGTGGCCAGTCCTTGGAGGACAAACAGGGAGTCCTAGGCAGCGGGACACAGCCCGGTGTGTCTGGTGGAGCATCTGGAGAGTGGAGTGATCCCTCAGAATCGCACAGGAGAGGGGCAGCTGCTGTGGGAGAGAAGCGGGGACCATCTCTGCATATGCTGTACCCTTTATTCCAGGGCTGGAGGCTGGGTGAGAGGTGGGTACTGCCAGGAACTTGGGATGGGGCTAGGACGGGAAGCTAGGGGCCAAGGAGGAGGCAACTCAGAGGGTAAAGGAAAGAGCTGAAAGAAGCACAATAGCCCCGTCTCTCCCCTGATTTCTCACGCCTGGCAACCAGGAGCTCCCAGTGCTATGAATTTGTTCACGCGCAGCCCAGCACCCGGCAGGCACTCAGTAAATGTCGTAGAATGAAGCCTGCATGGATGAATGTGCAGACAGCACTAGCGTGGACCTACCTGCGTCACTGAGCAGGAAGGCTACAAAACGTGGCCTCTGAGAGACCATGGCCAGGAACGAGCCCACGAGCTGGCTTCAAGCTGAGGTGCCGCCATTTTCTGGCAGGTGACCTTGGCCAAGTTCTCATCCCCCTTAGAAGGTAGGAATGGGGAATCAAAAGCTTCCAAGGTGCTGAGCTGATAATCCCTGCAGTAACGTTGTGCAGCAGGTGCTGTTCTAATCCCCTACTTCAGCGGTGAGGACACTGCAGTACAGAGAGGGAAAGTGACTTGCCCAAGGTCACACAGCCAGGAGGAGGCAGGGCAGAGATTTGAACCTTGCTCTTCTGACTTCCCAGGCCGGTGCTTGGCCCCATTGCTGGGTCCCTGGGCCTTGGTTTTCACCTCCACAAAATGACGTGTTGGGGTGATGGTCAGGGTTTGATGACTGACAGTGAAGCCCACCAGACTGCCATCTAAGCAGTGGCTGCTCCCCTGCCTTCCCAGCCTGTGCTAAGAGCAGCATTAAATAAAGCACGTGTGTCAGGCGGCTTCTTGCCTTCACATAAAGACGCCGTTTCTACGCTTGGCTGTGAGCTCAGAAGCTGAGACAGAGACATCCCAAGCCCTTGGAACATGAAGATGTCTTTTCTCCCTCTCCTGCCGTGTGTGGGTCAGAGGCTGAGTGTCAGTCCCAGCTGATTAAGCCTTGCCCGCTGCCACCTCCAGCCCCCGGTGTTCCGAAGCCCATCCCCTCTTTGTCCTTGGGAGCAGGTGGGGTGCCTGAGCCCCTCCTTGTCACCTGGCCTAAGGCCTGCCTGGCAATTTCTTCCCTTTGATCACTGAAGCCCTCTCCCTGAGCCGCAGCCTCAACACCAAACCCAGTTAGAGGCCCTTAATCACCTTGCTCCCCAAATGGAAAGAGAGACCTGTGTCTGTGCCAGTGTCGGAAGGAACTACCCTTTCAATTCAACCAAGTCAGGTCGCCCGAGCGCCTCTGCGTGGAGAATGGTGGGCAGAGCCCAGCCCCTGCCACTCCGGGATGCAGACAACCTTGAATTGACAACAATTGCATAAAGCAGCAGCACCCCCCACCTCCACCGCAGTGAGGAGCCCACGATGTTACCCACTGCTCTGTCGCGTTCCTTGGTGCCAGCTCCTCACATGGGCTCAGCACCGCTGGTCCTTTCTGCCACCTCCACCCCATTCGCTGGAGGTTGCTGGAAGGTGAGGGAAAGGTGGTACGTGAGAGAGGGAAAGGCTGGGAGGCCTGATGTGGACCAGAAATAGGGCTTCCCAGGAAATGTGCCACCTTCACTCCGAGCTTACCTGAGGGCCTCTGGAGCGGGGGAAGGGGATGCGAGTCAGTGGGAAGCCGGCTGCTAGTGGAGATAGGCTTGCCTGGCAGAGACAGTAGGTGTGAACGTAAGCTGTGACATTTCAGCACAGACTTGGATTCAGTCATAAACAGGGGAGAAAAACCACTAAGTGTTGTTCCAATGATAATGTCATCAGTAACAGTCATCACTGAGAGTTTTGGGACTTGATAACCTGCCGGGACCGCGCCGTGTGCTTTCCTGATTGCACTGCATTTCATTTTCACAAAAGCCTGTGAGGTACGTAGCAGGATTGTCCCTGGGCAGACAAGGACTGAGAAGGAGAGAGGTCAAGGTGTCTGCTGCAAGATCACTGGGCTTCTAAATGGCCCTGTAGCCCAAACGCAGCCACCACATGCTGACGCCCCTGCCACGGAGAAGGGCCTGGCCTTGCTTGCTTGGCAAGGACTGCGACACCCCATTTAAGGAGCTGCGCAGTTAGAACGTGCTTCCCAGTTTGTCTCATCAGTTGAGCTTTGCCACAGCTCAGGAGGCTGGTGGTGTGATCACTGCTATTTGATAACTGGGGAGGCTGAGGCACAGAGGGATGAATTTATGTCTGAGGTCCCTTGGCTGCAAAGTTGCAGAACTGGGATTCGCACTCTTATGCCCCGTACATTGTATTTGTGGCCTATGCTTTAGATTCATTTAAAGCTGGTGTTGATGTTGTGCACCCAGCCACCTTTCCTTAACTCTCAGGTGTCCCCCAACTTGTCACCACCCGCTTGCTGCTCTGGAAGCCATTGAGAGCAGCCAAGGAAGCTATCAGCTCTGATTCCCATGATCTGACATGACACGAAAGTGGCATCCGATTTGATGCGAGCTGCCTGCAGCGAATGGCCGTCTATTTTTACATTTCTCACAAATTGGAAATTACAAGGAGGCCAGGTCTTGCAGAGCGATTGGCCAGAGTGCTCTGAAAGCAGGGGGTGTGCAGGTGGGTGGAACGGGCCACATTAAGGTGCCAGGGGCCCTCTTGGCTGCAAAAGGGGCCCCCAGCTTCTGGGGCTGGATGGGATCCTGGCACACAGACCAGGCTGGAGGATGCGGGAGTTAGTGGCTGCTTCAGACAGTGACCTGCAGCTCTATCCCCCTATCACCTGCACAGTGTCTGCAAGAGCAGGGTCGCATGCCAGCTCCTGAGATAGCAGAGTTCTGGCCAGAGGAACATTCAAGGTCAGAGATGCCCCGAAAGACACTGACAGCAGGTTGCCTTCATGGCCTTATTGTTTAGTAAGGAGGTTCTGTGCAGGGAGAAGGCAGCAGCCACAAGGAGGTGAGAAATGACATTTGATATCGGTTTTGTGGTTTTCTGGAACCTAGTGCTGATAACAATTCTCCTAGTCATCAGGACAACACTTCACAGTTTGCAAGAAAAAAGAGAGAGAGAGATGCTTTTGTGGCTGTTCTTTCTTTTGCTCCCGTGTGGGGAAGAAAATGTGGTCCCTCATATCCTGGAGAAGAGTCTTCTGTCAAACACAAAGAGATTTTTCTTTAAGCTCTTTTTCTCAAAGTGCCCAAATCAGAATGACCTTGACTCAAATGAGGCCTTTTTGTGCACATGTGAATACACACACACTTAACGCTTAAGTGGAATTTCACAAAGTACCTTCTATTGAAGTTTGCGATAGCCTGGGCGCTCCAAGTGAAAGTAATATTATTATTGCTATCACCATGATTGTCTCCACCTTTTGCATGGGGAAACTGGCGTATAGCCAGCCCTAAACACTTTGTCCCTGACCTCTGGCTTCCCAGCTGAGGGCAGTCACCTTTACTAAGCCTGAATCCAAATTCACCAGGTAGCCCCTTGAAGGAGCCCAGAGAAGCCCCAATCTGTTGGAGGTGGAACACAGCACAGTGAGCACAGGGGTGGAGACTGCCAGACAGCCTGGAAGGGCACAGCATGAGGCTTGGAGGAAATGTCTTGTTCCAGCCTCACCTGAACTCTGGCCAGCGGCTCTTGTCTCCTTGGTGACATCTAGAGTTTGGGGTTTGAAGTGTGCTCATTTGGCCAGGGTGGCCCAGTGGTGGTGGGGCTGGGTGAGGGGAAGGAAGGGTGATTGCTCTTAGATGCATGTGCCTGTGCACAAGTGTGCTTCTCTAGATGGATTTGGATGAAAATGAATACCAGGGACCCTGTGAGATCACCTAAAAGGACCTCAGGACCATGGTAACCAGTAAAGGTGTGGGGAAGTGTTGGTATGTGAGCCTCAGATGGTTTGAGACAGTTTGAGACATGCTATTGGAGCTGCTGTGTGGTTTGGAGTCGTGCCCAGCCAAGAGGGAAGGGAAGGGGTTAGGGTAGGGATGGAAACCACTCACCGGGCCTTTACCCCCACTTCTCCTCTGCCAGTTCTGGGGAAGGCAGGGACACCTGAGGCTTTGGCACCTCCCCTGGCTGTGTGGCCAGCCACCAACCACTGGGGCGGGAGCGCCCCAGGCACCAGTCGTGGGCTGCCTGAAGCTGATGAGAACGATGCTAGGGGATAGGTGTTGTGTCCCCATCGGCAGAGGAGGACCCTGAGGCCAAGATGGGTGGAGTTTCTCACCCCAGGTTACACGGCAGAGTTCAAACCTGGGTCTTGCTGATACCCACGAGCTATGCTTTCCCACGCCACCCGCTGCTTCTGGAGAGCACCCAGAGGGAGCTCGAGGCGGGGGTGTGGGGCTTTGACTCAGTGAAGCAGAGGATGAACGACAGGAAACAAGAGTGACCACTGCTTCCCATGCAGTGCGTGCTCTCCATCCTGTGTCCAACCCTCGTGGCCACCTGAGCCTCTTAGCGCTCATGTTGAATGTTTCCGGAGCTTGAGCTCAAAGACCCACCTATTGGTTGTTTTTTTTTAAAAAAGGGCTTGGGGATGGGGAAGTAGTCTTACTGAAGAGTCTTCTGCAAAGATGGAGTTTAAATGCACTTATGTATTACATATATGTACCTCCTTAACAGGTTGGTTCAGCACGGCGACACCAAATCATCAGACACATACAAGCCCCAGTTTTGAGCTCTGACTGTGACACAGGCACTGAACCCAGCATTTTACAAGCAGCATCCCAGGATCCTCAGTAGGAAACTGAGCGCAGGGATCTCTCGTGGTTGCCCAAGGTCACCCCACTGACTGACCCATGCCAGGACTCAGATCCAGGTCTGTGGGACCTGATGCCTGGGCTTGCAGACCGGAGAGAGGAGGCAGAGCCGCCTCCCATGTGTATGGGCTGCCCTCGAGCAGGGTCCTTCCCTAACCTGGGCATCGCTTGCTCAGACCATGAAGCCAAAGGGTTTGGACTGGTTGGGTGGATCGGCTGCTTCCTGCACCCGATGCCAGCTTTCCAAGCAGGGCAAGGGAGGCTGCACGCCCTACTTCCTTTTCTGTTTCCCCTGTAATAGCCTCCCTGAGACTAACGACTGAGAAACTTAAGACCCCTTTCCCCAAACGGCAGTAAATGCCTCTAATGACAGAGCAGATGCAGCACTGTTAATTACGCCGCGGGTATTAAATGAAAATGCCAGCCCCGGAGGAGTTAAATAGCACCGCTGGGCTGGCAGTGGCTGTGCCTAAAAGCTGTGCCATCAGCCTCCACCGAGGCAGAACCACCCCCTCCCCAACCCCTGGAGCCAGTCTGAAGTCACAAAGCCTAGTTCACATGGGCCCCCTCCCCAGCATGGGGTCCCAGCAGCTCCTTGGAGCTGGGACATCAGTGGCTGCTCTGGGAAATTTTCTTAGCAGCCTCTGGGGGCGGCGTTGGTGGGGGGTGTCAGAGGCAGATGTAGGCAAACAGCTGAATCAGATAAAACTTTGAGCACTGACTTTGTGCCAGTCCCTACTATGGGTCACAGAGATAAACTAGGTACTGTTTCTTCCTCTGAAGAGCTGCTCACAGTCCAAGCTATAAATTCACTGAGTGGGAATGCTGTGTCTTCTGGCATCTTTGGTGCATAGGTGGGGACACATAGCAGGTCCTTACCTCTTGCTTTTGATTGCCTACATAGCTCCTTAAGTGAGAGCCAGAGGCCACACAGGTGGGGCCAGAGCAAGACCAGCCATAGGCTGAATGGAGCAGAGGGACACGCAGGGGGCCTGGCTTTCACCAGCTCGGCCTTTCCAGATAGCTGGACTTCCCACTTGCTGGTCACCATGGATAATCCCTTTGCCCACCCTGAGCCTCAGTTTACAAATCTGCAGATTGGGCCCAGTGAGGGACGTCATGGCCATAGGCAAAACTATGTCCCTGAACCAACCCTAGCCCTGAGGCTATCAGGTCACACAGATTGCATAAATGTCTGAAAAATGACATTTTGGAGGCAATTCAGCAGGAGAAGGCAGAGTTGCCAAAGGCAGGTCTATTTATTCTTGTGGATTTAAAATGTCACTCAAAACTTCAACCCTCTCCAGCAGCTCTGGGTTGCAACCTCCTGCTTCCTGCACCTCAAAAGTTGTTTCTTAGGTTTTTCTAGGCCAGTGAAAGTCACAAAACCCACCTGTTTCAGACACCCCTGTTACAGATGGGTAAACTGAGGCCTGGAGAGCAAGGGTCCTAGCACCTGCGGGCCTAGGACCCAGAGCTTCTAACCCCTAACCAAGTGCTCTTTCCCCTGCCCCATGCCAGCCCAGCTCCACCGTTGAGAAATTATTAAATAGAGTTGGTGGAAGGACTCTGGTTGCCGTGACAACGGAGCCTGTGTCCTCGGGAGATAATGGCGTTGCACAAGGCAGAGTGATGTGTGTTGAATGCTGATTCGGGAGCTGCTGGAGCGAGCGAGCGAGAGTGGAAGGGACTGTGTCTAGAGTTTGAGCTTCCCCAAGAAAGAGGCTGGGGGTGGGGGCAGCTGCGGGGAAACTTGCTTTGTCTGGAAGCATCCTTGCTATAGCCTCGCAGAAAGGGATCATTTCCTTCACTTTGTGGAGGCGCAGAGTGAGGTGCAGAGAGGTGAAGTGACTTCACCCAGGTCACACACCTGGGTGAGATGTGGAGCTGGGATTCCAGCCTCCAACTGCTGCAGGGAGCTTAGGCCATGGGACACTGCGAAGGGGAGGGCAGCTGGTGAGGTGGGGACGCAGAGTACCGAGTGCCTAGACCTCTCTAAAGACTGTTGAGGAAGCCTCAAAGATGGAGATTCTGATGGGCCAGGAGCAATAATTCCAGCCCAAGAGGAATAGGAAACTAAGTCCAAGGTCAAAATCCGCCCTCCCACTTCCTAGCTGTGCAAACGTAGGCAAGTCACTTTACCTCTCTGAACCTCAGTGTCTTCATCTGCAAAATGGGGATAACAGACCTAACTCATAGGATTGTTACAAGACCAAATAAGGTACCGTAGGTCGAGCATCAAGCCCCACTGCTGGGCATCAACAGTTATTAACCAAGGAGAAGGGTCTCCTTCCAACCATGTATCAGCTTGTAATGTGTAGTGCTGGACAGTGGAATTGGCTAAAACGAGTATAAGAACGATAAATAACAGGGGTCTTCATCCAGGCTGGTGAATATCAGCAGAACAAATGAACAGCCCCCGTTACCAGAAACATGCGTAAATATTTTGTCTTTGGGAAGCATGACGGATGGACCTCACTGTAAATATACTGTCCCTAAAAGCCTGTGCACAGACCTCACCGGGGAAACTGCGTTTGCCCTGTGCCGTCTCTCCAATGACCCGGCACCGCGAGCCCTTTTGGAAAATGAATACTCTTACCCATGCTCTTCATTTCTCTCTCCTGCACAGCTGGTGCAATATATTCCCTCCCCTACACGGGAGTTGGGGAGCATGGGGTTAACATGCCGAGGGACCCCCAAGTACATCATTTGCATGCTGGCAAAGATGTGATGCAAGCTGGCAGAGGACCCATTCCATTTTGGAAGCAGAAAGAGGGTGCTGGACTCAGGCATTTGGTTGTTTCAAAAGCAAGGGTGAGAGCTGGGATCCGGATTATTTAGAGGAAAACGACCATTTTGTTACCATAAACCTGGCTGAGCAAATCCACCCCCAGAGTAGCAACCTGTTCCTGGATTCCCAGAGTGGGCAGGTCGTTTGTTCTCTGCTGATCCTGGGGCCGGAGGGCAGGGTGGGAGGCAGTGAGCACAAGAGCCCTGATTCCAACTCCTCCAGCCTGTGCCAGGGGCGAGGGTCCGGGAGACTGATTCAGTGGCCACATGAAGACAGTTGACATTTAGCCAGGATTTGAACAGATGTGCTAATTGCAGGGAGAGGTACCCATGTCCACTTCAGGAACTGTGTTTAATGGACAGTTTGCTCTGAGAATTTGATGTGATGGGCATCTGCGTGTGATGGGCTCCACCGCTCCCTTTTACCCACTGCCTCTGGGTGACGATAACTGGCATTCTGCCCAGGACTTCAGTCCCATGGCTATCTTCTAAAACAGCAACAACAGCCAATAATAATACTAGCCCTAATCCAGTGGTGTAATATTACCGGGCATCAAGGACTTACTGTGTACCAGGCTCTGGATTCGCTACTTTACATATTTTCCCATGTAATCCTCATGGTGGCCATGAAAGTAGACGTCACCCCTCTGTCTTAGAGAGGTTCTGCAGTCACACAGCATCCGAGCTGAGACTCAAAACCAGGTTTTCTTGCTCTCAGGGCCAGTGGCCTGTTCAGTCCTGGCTCTTGACAAATAAGCCTCTGAATACCCTTGACCTCCCCAGCGGAAGTTTTTCATGAGTTTCTTCATTGTTTGTGGGACTTAAGAGCATTAACTCAATAAAGATCCCATTTTCCCAAATGGGTAGTTATTCCTGCTACATGGCATTTTTCACTTGACACAGGAGGGGGGATTCATATGATAAAGATTCCCTTAGAAAGCTTCCTCGATGAATCAAGAACAGATGTGTTGGCTAAAGCGAGCCTTCGTTTGAGTCTTTTAAAAGTAAAATTAGCTTTCTCTTGTAGGAAATATTTGAGACCCAGGAATCTGACCCTGCATCAACTCTAAAAATACACAGCCTCCTCGTTCTTGCAAAATATTCTAAAGCGATGTCTCTCAACATGTTTTTAAATCTATTGAGTTGTATTAAAAGAATAATAGGGGGGAGAAAAAGAACAATAGGATCTGTTGTTTCCCAAACATAAACTCATAATGCTGAACATGCTTTTTTAAACCACCCTCACCCCGCAAGAGTTTTGGCATATTTCCTCGGGAAGGGGCAACAGTAACCTCCCCTTCTTTACCACTTCGGGAAAGAGCTCTCTGGGGTGACGAGACTGTGCCATGTACATTAGGATTGCAGACTCAAAGGCCATGGAGGGCCGGGAGGGTCAAAGAAATGAGTCAAGAGGTCAGCAACAAGGTGACAGTCGTGGTGGGACTTGTAAACTGAAAAACATGGAGCTGCCCCCCAACCAAAGCACGCCACCAAACACAAGTGTGGGACCCGTTCGGCCCGCGGGCCACCAGTTTGAGATTCCTGGTGGTTCTTACTGTGACTTTGTGTGATCTTAGTCCAGACGGTTCTGTCTTTGGAGCTTCGGTGTGTTCGTCCCCAGAGCGGGGCTGATGGGGCCTGCAGAGCCGTGGAGAGGAGGAAATGGGGCCCCAGGTGCGGACCCCTGACAAGGAACCGCGGAGCTGCCCAGGGCCGCCGTCACTGAAGTACGTGCTGTGACACGGAGTCAGCGCTCGGTTCAGGCTGCGCGTCTGCGTGGGGCTTGTTACACGTCCCCATTTAGTTCAGCCAGTCCCTGTGGTGGTGGGTTTTTTTTCCCCCAAACCTGAATTCTTAAAGGGCCTTAATCCCAGTGCTCTTTAGAGCCCTTCAAGCGCGTCTTGACAGGAGAGGATGGTTATTTACCCCCTGCTTCTCTTACAATTGTTTTTTAAAAGGCAAAGGTCAGCATAGAAGCAGGACAGGGGGGCATCGTGGCACTCTTACTTCCTGACCTGGGTGGGTCCTTTCTGGCCGGTGGAGCCTTTTCAGAGACATCCCCTGGAGCGGAATCTCCTGAATTGCCCACACCAGGCAGAGGAGGGTGGGAAGAGAGACACCAGCTGGAACAGGACCACGAGGGCGCGGAGGCCGGGAACCTCGGCCAGTCCCACCGCGGGTCCCTCTGTGCCGGTACCGGGTAGTTCTTAGTTGTGCCTGTAGCCCCCACCCCGCCCCCAGGGCTGAGACTGATGGGCTGGCCCCCAGCACATCCAGTTACAGCAACAGGGGAAGTTGGCAGGGGAGGCCCTGTGGCCTGGGTTCCAATCACAGCTCCTCAGCCACTCTGACCTTGGGCTCCGCCAACCCCTGAGACACAGGCTGCCTTCCCCTTCGGGGTCTTGGGCAGGTTCAGTGAGATCAGTGAGCAGAGCCTTGTGAACACAGAGGAAGTCAGCAGCGCACCTGTGTCCCCTTCCTTCCCTCCCTCTGTCCTTCCTTTTCTCTGTCTTCCTCCTGGCCCCTTCTCCGGTCACTCCGTGCTCCCCTCCTGTCTCCCTCTCTCCGTCTGTCTTTGATGTCTGGGACTTTCCTTACAGGAAGCAATGAAGAGCCCACAAGGCTTGCAGACTGTGTCTCTTCACGATCCGGTGACCTCGTGGTGGCCCCTGACCTGGCTGTGCTGGGAGCATGTACACCAAAGAAATCAGCAGACTCCCCAAGTCGGGCTCGTTGCTGGCTTCCCAGAGCAGCCATCGTTAACGCTTACCAGCCCACCGCTGCTTTGGAGACAGGGCCACCTTCTCCAAAGCAGACATTTCCTGAGAACTTATAATAACAGTGTCCCCTGCCACCCAAGGTAGAGCTCAGGAGAGCATGTGTGGATTTGGCACTGCTTGAGCCACTGTGGGAGAAGCAGAGCAAGTTGAAGACCCAGGTCTCATTAGGACAGAGGTGACGGTGGAGCTGGGGAGATAGGACAGAAGAATCAGTTACTAGTCAGATAAGAAACAAAGCTGCATGGAGTGCCTGGGCCTTCCCCCATCACCGCCACCGCAATCCGGGCTCAGGCACTCTCCTCGAGCCCCCTTCTCCCTCTCCTACGCCGCTGCCAGGCTCTTGCCATATCACCCCGGGATCAAATCTCCCCACCTTAAGAGGCTCCAAGGTCCCCAAGGCCTCCCCAGTGCCCACTGTGGGGAGGAGCTGTTAGAAGCAAGGGCTTTGGGGTCCAGCAGCCGCCTCCTGCATCTGGGCAAGTTGCCCTCCTTCTCTGAGCCTCGGCCTCCACATCTTTGAGAGTTGAACATGATCGATCATCCATGAAACATCCTGAATAGCGTGAGCACTGACTAAACGCTCAGAATGATCATCATTCTCATTACAGGGTGCGGCGCACGCCCCTTCCTGCATTCAGAGCCCTTTACTGCTACTGCTGGCTCCCCAGCCATGCTCCCTAAGTCACCCCCGACTGTCGCCGACCAAGCCAGGCCCCTTACTGTCTCTAAATACATTACGCATGTCCTCTCTGCCTGGAGTGGGCCAGAAGCAGTTAGGCTTGTGGTTAAGAGCAAGGGTTCCAGTTCTGCTTCTCCAGGTGTGATTATTAAAAGAATGTCCCCACTTCTGTCCCCTTTCCACCACTCCAAATGCCATCCTCTCCCAGTTTCTTGCGGGAACCTGGGCCCCCTCAGCAGGGCACCATTCTTCCTTCTCTGGGCTATGGATGTTGGTTATCCACAGCCCATCAGCCAGCTGTCCCCAGCGCTCAGTGGCAGTGGGACTCTAGACTCCAACTGGCATATTTATCCCCCTGCACCCAGCATGGGACCTGGCTCCCTAGAGGTGCTTGGTCAGTGAAGATTGGATTGGATTGAAAATTTCCTTGATGAAGCGAGCGGCTCAGTCGGGCACTGCAGATACTTAGGGGCCAGAACAGATGTGAGCAAACCGCTGATTGTTGAGTGAGACAAGCGGGCTGAGATGAGAATGAGGATGGAAGTTGGGAGGGTGCTCTACGCGAAAGGAAACCGAGGCACAGAGAGGGAAAGGGACTAGCTCAAGATCACACAGCTGGTAAAGTGCGGAGTGAGGATTCAAACCGGGGTCTGCAGACTTCAGAGTCTCAAGCTAACTGCACTTTCTCCTCTCCTTCCTCCTCTCCCCGAGAAAGGCCCTCTCCCTGCTGCAAGCACAGGCTGTGTCTGCAGGTGGAGCAGAGCGGGGAACTCCCAGAGGGGATCACTACCCCTGGAGCTGGCTGCCTCCTGGGGGCCTCTGATTAGAGCCCCAGCCCCAGGGACCCGGTGAGAGCTCTCAGCCTGGATCCCCTGTGACCTCTCGTTGGCTCCCCAGACACCTGCTGCGTTTGTGCAACATGACCCTGGGGACCAGTTAGCCTGTCACAGGGCCAGACTGTAGAGGGCACAGTGCCAGCAGCCTTTCTTGGGTTTCTTAAAACGAGCAGCAGGCCTAGTCCTCGGGGTGGGGGGGAAGCTGGCATTCTTCCACACCCCAAAGGCGGGGCTTGGGGGTTCCACAGGCACCCCACTAGAGACAGGAGAACAGAGCAGTTGAGAGTGTGGACAGAAGAGCCCAGCTGCCTGCATTCAAGTCCTGGGCCCCTCTAGTTCCCGGCTGGGAAACCTTTGGCAGGTCACTTGACCTCTCTGTGCCTGGGTTTACCCATCAGTAAAGTGTAGGCGAGGCAGGGAGAATAGGAAGCTCATATACGTAAAGCACGTGGAGCGGGCCCTGCCTGGCCTGTGGGTAAGTGCCCAGCTGGCTTCCTTCCCGCACTCTGAGGTCTTTTTCTTTCCTTCTTTGTTAATGAAAAGTCAGGGACTTTTTTTTCTTGTGTGCAACCGCAGAAAAGAAAGAGTGGCATGACTCACTTCACCTCTGGATGGGTCTAGGAAGCCTCCAGTGGTTTTGAAGCTGGTATTTTTCTCACTCTGGTTGTTGGGGTGGGGTGTCCTATAACTTCCTACATTCTGGTTTCGTAGAAACCAGACTTCTAGGCTCTCTGAGGCTGCAGGAAGAGGGGAAGGGCTTACACCTCGGTTTCCTTGTCCATTGTGGGCAGTGAGGCCAGGTGAACCCACCTCCACGCAGTCACGTCTCTTCCTCTCTGGAACCCAGCAGGCAGGCTCCGAAGGTCGCAGGCCACATCCAAAGGCTTCAGAGAATGTCACACAGGCCAGATGTCTGGGAGGCATCTGCTAGGTAAGCAGAGGGCCTGGGTTAAATCCTGTGTGGCCCTGGGCAGGTCATCTGATGTTTGTGAGCATCAGTACCATCATCTGCAAAATGGGACTGATGATCATTTTAGCTTCAGTGTATTTAGCACTTGCTGGGACATGCCCAGGGCTCGAAAATTTAAATCTAGTCCTCACAGTGTGTAAAGTGATTACCATTGGCCCCATTTCCTGATGAGGAGACAAACACTTGGAGGAAATACGTACCTTACTCGAAAGTCACACCGGGGCGTTGTGAAGAATAGGCATTCAAAACTTGCTGCTGAGAAATGCACCCGGGTCTGCAGATCACCTCTCAAGGATGCTGACGCAGTTGAGGGGTTTGCGCCAAGATGTGGAGCTGCTTGCCTTCATCTCTAGAGTAAGAGTGCAGTGGGCTGATAGTTGGGGGGTGGGGAACTGTAGGGGTCATGACACTCATGCGCTGTGTGACCTTGGACCCGCCACCAGCCCTCTCTTGGCCTTTTTCTTCATCTGTAGACTGTTGGTGTAGACCAGGTGTACCCGTGTGGCATGGATCAGTTCTGGGCCAGAAAGGAGGCTGCATAGGTCCTGGTCCCAAGCCCCGCTGGCTGAAGGTTCAAGGGGAGGGCCTGCCATCCAGACCTGCAGCCCCTGTTTGGCCTGCACTGGTGCCCTGACAGAGAGTGACTGCTCGCCCCAGACTGAGGAGGCCCTCTCCAGCTGCCCCTTCGGAGCACTTCTCCAGAGAGCCCTCCCTGACCTCAGGGCGACGCAGGCAAGGGCTGCCCCAGCACCTGCCTCCCCCACCTCTGCCGCACATCTCAGCCTCCCATCGCCTTCTGCTCCACAGCATCAGCTACTAGTTAGCCCTCACATTTGTACAGCGTTTTCAATCACAAAGCTCTTCCGGGGCCATTCATCTCTTTGAACGGCCTCTGAGCTGCTGTCTACTGAGCACCTCCTGTGTGCCAGGCCCTCTGATCGCCTTCCATGCGTTTTCTCCCTTCAGAGTCTCACAACAGTCCCATGACGTGTAGGGGTCGGTGTTTACGGATAACGAAACAGGCTCAAGCGAGCTAAGCAGCGAGCCTCTGGTCACTCAGGGATTTGACCCAAGCTCTGTGAAATCATCAGGGTCACTCGTAACCTTAGCCTCTGCAGCTGCCGTGGGACCCTGTTCCAGTGCAACCTCTGGTTGCGTGGCTCTGGAGCGGGGCCCAGGACTCTGCATTTCTAACAGGCTGCCAGGTGATGCGGATGCTGCCCTCGGAGAACCACACTCTGCATAGCAAGGCCCTAATTCACTGAGCAATGTGAGACTCCTTTGCAATAGCCCCAGGCTGGCAAGCCTCAGTTTCCTCTCCTGTCAGATGAGTGAAATAGCCCTTGGCTTCCAGGGATGGGATGAGGACTGGGTGATATAGCACTTGTGAAATGCTGGGCACACAATAGGTGCTCAATAAATGCTGGCTTTTCTTCCTCGAGAGGAGCTGGCGTGGTTCTGGGTGCCCTACAGATGCTCAATAAAGCCTTGTCCAATTGACTGAGCCGAGCATTTCTCCCCAAAGCAGAGAATAAATGGCATTATGTTTCCCCTTGGCATGCTGCCAAACCCAATATTAATTTTTTTCTTGAACCACAGAGTTTCAAAAAGAAATTTAAAAGCGGGTAGAGTGATTGCAGTCTGAACCAAGCCTCTGTAATTTCTGTAATTACAGAACGGGAGCGAAACAAAGCAGGAGTGCACACAGCGTCATGGGAGCAGCAGGGCCCCCCTCCCAGGCCCGCTGCTCCCCCCACCTCCCAGTTCTTCATGGCGTCCCGCTTGCTCCCACTGGGTTCTGGGCCCAGCCCTGGCCCTAGACAATGGCAGCTTGAGATCTGGCCTGGCCTTTCTGCCTCTGCCTAGGTCCCCAACCCACGCAGCCACTGTCCCTCTGATGCAGTGGGACAGAGAGGGATTGTCCTAGGCAGCTGCCACAAGCTCCCCTCCCCCCAGCCTGCCATCTGGCCCTGGGCTGGGCTGCTGTCAGCCAGTCCACCAGCAAGGCCTATGGGCCCCGCCTCCAAAATAGATGTCCATGCCTCACTATTTCTGCCTTCACTGCCAACGTTCAAGTCACCATCATCTCTTGCCTGGACTCTTACCTCTTAAGGAGCCTCCTGCTTCCACTCTTGCTCCTCTACAGCCTCTTCTGGGCAGTCAGAGTGAGGCTCATAAAAGTAAGTCAGACCATCCCACCTTATAAATCCTCCACCTTCTCCCATCCCCTGTAGAACAAAATCTCAGCTCTTTGCTATGGTCTCTGAGACCTTGCGTGATCTGGCCCCTGTCTGCCTCTGACTCGATCTTATCCCTCCCACCCTGAACTCCAGCCACCCTGGCTTCCATGCTGTCTCTCAATAGCGCCAAACTTACTCCTGCCTCGGGGCCTTTGCACTTGCTGCTCCCTATTTGAAATGCTGTATCCCAGAGAGACACATTTCTGGCTCCTAATTCAAACTGAAAGATTTTTTTGTTCAGGCCAAATAAAACAAGCCCAAGGGCCAGTTTTGACCCATTTTGCCACTTTTGATCGAGAGACTCCAAACTCCACATGTTTTCTTTTCCTTACAAAACAGTTCCTCATTCAGAGTTTGGCAGATGTAGTCCTTCTGCTTCATTTTGTCCTGTTTTTATCGATGGCTTTGGGACTTGGTCACGGAGTGCACATCAAGGAAGGATGGGGCATCATGGGAACATTTTTACCACCTTCCTGTCTTGGGTCTCTTTCTTTTTTCTCTTCTTCTTGGAGTCTTTTCCTTTAACTCCATCTTTCTCAAAGCCTCCCTGACTGAATCTTCTTCTATAGTACGAATCTGATCACATTATCACCCTTGTCCCATCCCTGTAATTTATCCCTAAGTTCCTTAACCTGGTTTTTGAGGCCCTTCATAAACTGATCTTCTTAGCTTTAAGCCTCCCTACTTCTGTTCATGTGTTTCCCTCTACTTGGGGTGCCCTTTCCCTCTTTTGAGCCTAACGAACACCTATACAACCTTCAAACCCCAGCTGAATTGTCCTTTCATATGGGATACCTTCTCTCGCTGAATTAACTCATTCCTTCTAGGCCTACAGTGTGTGGTTCACATAGTCGTGCAGCACTTATCACAGAGAATTATGAATAGACATAGCACAGCTATTTCTCTTTAAAGGCTGTGACCTTATCAAGGTCAGGGACCTTGTGTTATTAATCCTTACCACCTGAGTGTCCAGCCCAGCTCCATGCACACATGAGGCCCTCAGTAATAGTTACAAAATCAGATCTTTCTTCTGGCACCTGTTAGTTCCCTGATTCAAACTCTGGTGACCCGTGTGATGTTCAGAATGCAGAATGCTTGAAACAGTTGTCCCACTGCCGGTTCAGCTCTTAGCCCGTTCTCAGGAAATACTTGTTGAATGAATGAAGGAGTGAAGGGGCAGGTGAGTAAATACGGATGACATGTCACTGGTGGTCTCACAATCACTGCGCCGTTTGAACATTGCTTTCATGAAATTCAGTTAATGGTGACACATTAAGGACCTGGAGGAATAAGTAGCTGGATTCTTGGTCTGCAGCCACCTGATGAGGAAGAATTGGAAGACTCTGGAAAGAAAGCCTTGGACAAATGCCCCAAGTCATGAGGTAGTGAGGCCTCTCCTACCAGCAGCTCCGCCAGCAGATAAAGGAGCAGGAGGGAGGGGAGGTGGGGTCTCGATGCCGAAGACACTGGGAGCCGTTCTCTGACCCTGGGCAGCCCTGGCACCGGCGCCTGTTCCAGGAAAGAGGGAGTAACACCAGTGAAAAGGTTGTTTCTTCTTCAGAGATCATTAGTTTTCTAGAAAGACAGCGGGTTCCCTTGCCATGAACGTGCACGTGCCTGTGCTGTCTGCGTGCAATTATTCACGAGAGCGACACGTTAACCAGCTGGGTCAGGAATTAAAATTCCCAAGCAGCTATTCCCGGAGTGCATGAGCGAGGCAGCTTCCTGGAATGGCTCTGTTTTCACCCTGGATCTCAGGCTGTTTCATTAACAGGATCCCTTTGTCTTTTCCTCCCATCTCTGAGATTTTTTTTCTTGTCAGATTTTATTAACTACAGAATAATAATTTTTTCCCTACTTTTTTAAATTGAAGTATAGTCAGTTACAATGTGTCAATTTCTAGTGTACAGCATAATGTCCCAGTCATACATATATTTATATATATTTGTTTTCATAGTCTTTTTCATTAAAAGTTCAGAGTAATACTTTTTAAAATTAACCAAACACACAAAGGTACCACTCCTGGCTTCTGATTGGCCCAAGGGGATCAGCTCGACCACTCTGAGTTGATATAAAGAGAGCCCAAAGCAAAGGGCTTGACATTTTTATTAGCTGGTATTCCCCACGGCAACTCAAAGGCTGATTTCTCTCCAGCTTCTGAAAATGCTGGAAGATGCTCCAGGGCCTGAATAATAAGCCCTTAATAAATGTTAGCTGCTATTCTTGTTACTACTATTATTGTTACATCATCCTCGTAATTGTGGCCTTCTGGGATGCTAAGAACACCAGATTAAGAGCCACTATCCGTACACAGCTGGATTGTCTGATCACGGCCGAGGTGCCCTACACCCTCGCTGTGAGCCGGGAGTTCTTTGACATGCTTTACAGGCACCACAACCTTCCGAGGGAGGTATTATTATGCCCCCATTTCACAGATAAGGATCAAAGAGGTGACGTAACACAGCCCAGCGTAAGTGTCTGAGGGAGCTAAGGTCTGGGGCAGTTCTTACGAGAAAGGCCTTCCTGGTCTGAATCCTCAAAGAAGCATCAGTGATATTAATTGACGGCTTTACATTCTTGATCTTGGTATACCGCGCACCTTCTGAAAGGGAAACTCCAAATATGGTCGTGTGGCTCCCTGCAGGGAAGTTAAACAGTTTGGCTGAGTCTGAATACACTTTTCCAAATTCTGGAAATCACACGTGTGTCTTCCTCGTGGTGAGTTCTTTGGAGCATCTGCATCTTTGCTCTCTCCAGGCTCGGCACGAGGAGGTGTCCAATCTACTCGTGGAGAAGACAACAATAAACTTCCTGGTGAACCGGAAGTCTCTTCCCCCCAGCCTCGAATGGTTCCCGCAGGGGATATTCACAGCCCGTCCTGCCCTGTTCCGCACGCCGTCCCATCATGCCTGCTTGCCGGGGGCTGAGCCAGAGCTGTGCCTGGCTTCCCGCCCCCCAGTGGTGTTGGATGAGCTTGTGGCCCAGCGCACAGCACCAGTTTCCAAAGCCCAGTAGATTTGGGAGTTTGGTTTGAGCCTCCCTGATAATCAACAAGCAAATCCAGAGTGGAGGCCAGAAGTTGTTGTTCGTGCAGGACACAGGGGATTCAAATTGTGGCAGGAACCTCTGAGCCAATGTAAGCAAAAGCAGGAAACTTATTTGATGACTGTGGGGATGCTCTACAAGCTCCAAGAGCAGGAAGATAGCCAGTCTTAAGAAGTCCTGGAACCACAGAGTAGAATGCCTTGAAGACTCTCTGTTCGTCTTTTGGTCTGATTGCCTTCTCCCTCAGCAGACCAGCTCTCCCTGCTGCTGTGAGTACAAGAAGGGCAAAAGATGGCTGCCTCAGAGTTCCCAAGTCGCTGGAGAACCTGTCTTCTTCCTCAGCCCCATGCCAAATTCCCAGGGAAGGAGCCCTCACTGACTTGCCAGGGTCAGGTGATCAGCTCTGGCCCAAAGTGGTTGGATCCTTTTGAACAAACATGGAGGCTGGTACCCACAGGGGTAAATCACGGAGACAGTTGAGAGCACCATTGTTTTGGCAGTTAACCATGGACCCCTCCCCGCCCAGGGGGTCTACTTTAGCCTCTCCCACTTTCCTGAGGCTGCTGGCAAGACTCCCCGGCAGACCACAGAATCGGCTGCCCCCTGCCGTGCCTGATATTAGGAGACACTAACTTCACTACCTGAGGCTAAAGTTCCCCCTGACATTGCCCTGCTCAGGCCAGGGTCTAGGTGGGTGTCCAAGACCAGCCTGTGGCTTGTCCTTGAGAACAAGAAGCAGGGTTGGCAGTAAAGTTTGGATTGTCTGAAGGTGGTCTGGTTCTCCGTGAACTCTAGGAACAGACCATGGTGTTTGGTAATGGGGACTGCATGTGGGGGGGGGGCGAATGCACAGCAAACGGGGTCCCCCCAGGGGGGCAAGGCTGAGGGGAGGAGGCCTCTGGGGCAGGGGGGCCAGGGCCCACACCGCACGTTGCTTTGGCTCAGCTCCTACACCGAGAGCCCACAGACCAGTGCTCATGAATGCCTTTTGCTCTGAGGGTTCCATAAGTTTATTCTAGTATCTTTTTTTTTAAAAAAATGTAGAACATTATAGAAATCCAGAAAAGCGTAAAGAAGAAAACAAAGCTCACTGTGAACAGGGGGAGCGTATAGCTCAGTGGTAAAGCACATACTTGAGGTCCTGGGTTCCATCCCCAGTACCTCCTTTAAAAAAGTCACTGTGAACATCTTAGGATATATCCTTCTGTCCTTCTTGGCGTTTTAGTTTTATTTGGTTGGTTTTTTTTAAATGAACAGTTTGGTGAGGAGAACAGGGACAAAAATAGGGGTCACACTAAATAAACTGTTTTGAAACCTAGTTTCCTCACTCCACAAAACAGGAGGCTCTATCCCACATTCGTTCCTGGTCTTTTACAACATTTCTGCAAGTTTGGATGGAAGACGGAGGAAAATATCCACTGCATTCTTTGGCTCCCGGGAGGCCCTAGGGAGCCACAGCCCCTCTGTGGATTTCTCTTTTCCTTCTGATGAAATTATGGAACGTTTTCCTCACGTCGCCCTCATGCGCACCCCCACCGTTGTCCTGAGGGCAGCAAGCCCACGTCTGCATGTTCCCAGCACTTTGGGGCCGGTGCCTCGCTGCATGCACTCGCTGTGGGCACCCCTGCTGGGTGGTTCCTCTCTCGGGGCTGGTACCCAGCACAGATGCTGGTGGGCTTCCTGCACCCCCGCTGCTCTCTGCCCAGGGCTGCCACCTGCCCCGCTTGCCAGCTCACCTCCTCTCCTCTGCTTTGCAGGCTCTCCCCACGGGGGTTTCCAACGGAGCTGCTCTGGAGCTGACCCAGCACAGAAAATCATCAGGTAATATCAGTTATCAGTGTCAAAACAACTATCTCTGGAGTTCCCTCTCTGGACCAGTTGGGTGAAAAGCACTTTTCCAGCCGTGAAAGTCATTGTTACCACGATTCTACAAGCCAGATAGGATTATCCCCATTTTATAGGTGGGGAAACTGAGGCCAGAGGCGATCAAGAGAAGTTTCTTAGAGTTACTCAGTGGATAAAAGGCAGACTGGAGATTTGAAACCAAGACTGGTCTGAGTCCAGTGTCTTACACTGTCCTCCACCCCAGGCTGCCTCTGCCTCTATGGAGGTTAGAAAGGTGCAGAGTGTAGGTAGACTATCTGGGGGAGACAGTGGGTCAGCGAACTCACACAAGCTGGTGGTCCTTCCTCGCCTGAGGGCTGGGCTGGGCTGCCAGCCCAAGATCTCCTTTTATGAAATTTGTTAAAAGTATAAATCCAGGACTTGTCTCCTAGAGATTCTGATGTGGCATGTCTGTGTCTTTGTAGGGCTTCCCAAGTGACTTGGAAGCACAGCCAGGCTTGAGGACTGCTGATGAAAGAGCAGCAAGTCCTCACTGTTTGCCAGACACTGGGTGCTCACTAAGTGCAGAGCAGCCGCCTGATGAGGGACGCACTACTATCGTCCTCAAAATAAAAGATAGGGAGGGGGGCCCAGAGAGGTTAAGACATTTCCTTAAAGTCACACAGCTCAAAAGTGGCAAAGAGGACTTTGATCACAATCAGAGTCTGTGCTTACATACTGCCTTCACCCACCACCTGCATCCAGGATGCCTCCCTATTCAGCCCCACATTAAGGCCCTGCATCTCTTACCCTGCCTTGGCTATATGGCCTCAGAGAATGAAGACTGACCCAACTGCATCCCGGGAGGCAAAGATGAGGTGCACATAATATTTCTGTTTGGAGGTTTGGTTGCCTCGGGCTACTCTCTGACAGGACACCTAACAGAGGTCAAGGGACACAGGTGGCAGCGTTGATGCTAGCCCGGGAGACGTCAAGACCACATCCTCATACGCTGACTTTGGAAACAAAAGGCACCTTCCTTCCTCCAGGAGCAGGGGCTGGCAGGAGAAGGAGGGTTTACGGAAGAGCCTTTTTGGCCCCTAGTTTGTGGGTTATTTCGTTTCGTTATTTTCTGGCAACTCTAGGACCTTGGCACCCTTCAATGTCAGTCACCCCAGCCCTCTGTTCTCCCAAGGTGACCTTGAGCCGCAAAACTGCTGTCCACGTGGACTGGGGCCGACATTGCACGTCCATCTGCCAGGACCCCTGCATCCAGACTTCGAGACATGGCAACCAACGGCAGCAAGGTGGCCGATGGGCAGATCTCCACGGAGGTCAGCGAGGTCCCCGTGGCCAATGACAAGCCCAAAACCCTGGTGGTCAAGGTGCAGAAGAAGGCGGCGGACCTTCCAGACCGGGACACGTGGAAGGGCCGCTTCGACTTCCTCATGTCCTGCGTGGGCTACGCCATCGGCCTGGGCAACGTCTGGCGGTTCCCCTATCTCTGCGGAAAAAACGGCGGCGGTAGGTGCTGGCCTGACATCCTCCTGGCTGGGTCTGGACCCCACGGGGTGTCTTGCTTAGGTGTTTTCTGGGGTGCCCTTATGGAAATGGGTGCCCTAAAGACTCCAAAAGGAGTGCCAGGCCCCACTTCCCGTTTCTTGTCCTTTTCCAAAGGAGTCCCAAAGGGCGAGAACCCTCTGTGATACCAAAACTTTCACCTCTTCATTTTACAAAGTGTGGGGCATGTGTTTTGAGCAAAGGACATCCTCGGGCCTCACTCTGGCTGTGGCTGCTGCTTTTGAGTCCATGTTAGAAAGTCATGGTGGGGACTCCAGAACACCCCACGGTGATACTTCCTCTGACCCTATTTCTTAAAGATGTGGGGCCACGAGCATCTCTCTTCCTGACCTCACAGGCGCCTTCCTGATCCCCTACTTCCTGACGCTCATCTTTGCGGGGGTCCCACTCTTCCTGCTGGAGTGCTCCCTGGGCCAGTACACGTCCATCGGGGGCCTGGGCGTGTGGAAGCTGGCCCCCATGTTCAAGGGTAAGTGCAGAGTGGGGCTGTGGGTCTCGGTCATGCTCCTGCCTGCACTTCCTGCGCCTGGACAGAAAGAGAGCTGCTGGGTCACATCTGAGCAGAGTGGAGCCCTGGCAAGGGGCCAGGTGACCAGTGGTGATGCTTGGGTGGTGGAGGCATAGAGGAGGGCTCAATCCAGAGGCCCCCACATGCACATCGGCCTGCCCTGGGGGCTCATTTCTTCAGCAGGGGCTGGGGGCGACTTTCTTCGCCTCCTTGTTCAGTGCCTGCCGGACACTCAGGTGGACATGTGGAGGATCACGTGTGCTGGGCCCCAGACACAAGTCCTGGCTCCCTCACTTGCCAGATGTGTGTGGCCTTAGGCCAAGTCCCTGCCTCTCTCCAGGGTTCAGTGAGATTGTAGATGTCGTGAGAAATGACAACGACAGGAACTGGGATGGTTGTTATTATTACTCTATTAGATGACTGTCGTGACGGTGTGTCTGCTCCCAGGTGTGGGCCTTGCCGCCGCTGTGCTATCATTCTGGCTGAACATCTACTACATTGTCATCATCTCCTGGGCCATCTACTACCTGTACAATTCCTTTACCACGGTGAGTGGCCCCTGGGACCCACCCTCTAGAAGGAACTAGACCCAGACCCCACCCGCCATCCACTGGGACCACCATTCTGCCAACAGGGCTGCACCTCCAGGTGGGGGATGTGGTTTCTCTTCAACAGCCCTCGTCTCCCCACAAGTCATAACACTGTTAGCCGATTTTATATGAACCCAGATGGCCTCAGTTCAAATCTTGTCCCTAATATACACAACCTGTGCAGCTTCAGGGAAGAGACGACCTCTCTGAGCCAAAGCACCCTCATTTATAAAATGGGGGTACAAGTGAAACCCACCTCATAGGGTTGTTGTAAGGATTAAGGAGCAAAGAACAAGCACTATTAGGGTTCACTGTCAACATCAGTGTGCACAGGCTCAGAACAGTGAGGTCTCCTACCCAGCGTCACATAGCTGGGAAGTGGCCTCAGGGTGGACACAGGAAAACTTATGGTACACCCTGGGAAGCTGGTTTTCAGAGTGAAAAGTTTGAGATTCAAATTTCAGCTCTGACACTTAGGAGCTGTGTGATCTTGAGCAAGTTGCTGCCCCTCTCTGAGCTCTAAAACAGGGATCACAACATAACCTGCATCTGGGAGCTGTTGGGAAGGGGAGGTGAGATAATGGCTCTGAGGAGGCTCAGGGAACTGTGGGGGTGGACGGGGTGTTCTGGGACCAGTGTTGCCAACCCCTGGGCAGCTGTGGGGTTTATCTGTGCTACTGTGTCTTTGCAGACACTGCCATGGAAACAGTGTGACAACCCCTGGAACACAGACCGCTGCTTTTCCAACTATAGCGTTGTCAACACCACCAACATGACCAGCGCCGTGGTGGAGTTCTGGGAGTGAGTGCGGGGCCGTGCATGGGGTGGGGTATCACCCAGGGCCAGCAGGCACAGAGGCACCCACAAACGGTGGGTGGGAGAGTTAGGTGAAGGACTGTTTGTGGAGACGTGGGTGAGCTCAGGAAGTCACAAGGGAGGATGAAGCTCTTTCCTCCCCTAGAGAGAGCTGGACTGCGGAAGGGGCCACTAGACATGGACTGTGACCTTTAGTAGAGAAACCCAGGTGCAGACAAAGCCACGGTCCAGCAGAGAGGATACACTCCCCATCCTCTCTCTCCTCCTGCCCTCTGAGCTCCTGCCATTGGTCAAATCCACCTAGAAGCTGAAGGCAAGGGACCCTGTGATGCTGCGGTAGCAGGGAGGAGGGTGGAGGGGGTGGAGTGGGTCTGGAGGGGCCAACAGAGGGGAATAAACAGCATAGGCCCGGAAGAATCACCAGGTGAGCCGACAAAAATCTCAGTTCATCCTGAAATCCAGTGCAGTCTGCTTGGAAACCCAGAGTCACGTCACTTGGAATGAAGACAGACAGACAGACAGACACACACACACACACACGTCTATAGTGAAGACCAAGCTGATTGTACTTTCAGGGGAGCGTATCATAGAAGATGTATATTGGGGGCATTGATTTTCCAAAATGAGGTCCTGGGACCCAAATCTTTTTGGCAAGAAGGAAGCACCTGTGCTGGGCAGCTCGAAAGGATCTGGAAGCAAGTGCAAAGGGTCCACCTCACCTTGGATAAGCTGCCAGGAGGAGCTGTTCCGGGGGTGTCAGACACGTGATGTCAATCTCTCGGTGCTGGGATCTCATTGGCTGGGCTATCTCCTTACAGATAAAAATCAGATTCTGCTCCGGCTGGCTCTGCTTCCGGCATCTCCCGCATACAATTCTGTCACACACATTCAGGCTTTTCATTCAATCATTTCTTCAATGAACATTTCTTGAGCACCTACTATGCGCCGGTTAAAGACATGGGCACACAAACAAGCAAGGGCAACAGCAGATGACCGATGCTAAGAGGAGGGACGCACAGGAAGCTGTGGGGGCTCCAGGGAGGTGCCTGGACCAGCCCAGGTGAGGAGCGGCGTCTCAGGATGAACAGCAGCTCAGGGAAGACAGGTGTTGGCAGAAAGAGGCGCCTGTGTGAAGGCTCAGAGGCACGTGAGAGTAAGCAAGGCTCGGGTGAGCAGGGGAGAACAGCTCAGTCTGATGAGCACTTGGGGGGCTTCAGTGAGTGCCGGACCGCAGAGAGGAGTGGGGCCGGCTGTGAAGGCCTTGCAAGGCCGGCCTGGGGAGCTCGGGCTTCGCTCTGAGAACAGTGAGCTATTCACTGCAGGGTTTAAGCAGGAGAGTGACGTGATCAGATGTTAGAGGGATCCCTGGGGCTGGAGTGCGGACAGAGCAAAAGCGAAGGTGGGGTCCTGCTGCAGCCATCCGGGTGAACATCATGGCGGCTGAGCTAAGGCACTGGCAGGTCGCTCGAGCAAACAGCGCTTTCTACCGATTAGTGTATCAGGCCCATGGTCCCCACCCAGCCCTTGGAGCCCAGGGGTCACAGCTGTCAGCGCCATCACAGTGGAGGATCACCCGTGTCCACACCCTGGGCACCCCCGGGTCACTACAGCCCCCACCAGCCCCATGTGACTTCCCCTCCCTCGATGTTCCACCAGGCGCAACATGCATCAGATGACAGACGGGCTGGATAAACCAGGTCAGATCCGCTGGCCTCTGGCCATCACCCTGGCCATCGCCTGGATCCTTGTGTATTTCTGTATCTGGAAGGGTGTTGGCTGGACTGGAAAGGTAAGGGGTGTGCACGGTGGGGACCTGGGGCTGGGGGGAGGGGTCTACCAGGGGATCTCTGCCCTGAGCAAGGAGTCTGTACCTCCCAGGAACCCTATCCGACTTTAAGTAAAGCAGGTCCCTTCATCTCTCTGAGCCTCGGTTTCCTTTCTTGTAAAATGGGAATAATAACATTACCTACCTTCTGGGCAGTTGTAAGGATTAAAAGAAACAGTGCAACTTAGGCCCTTAGCACAGTGCCAGGCTCGCAGTGAGTCCCTTGAGATTCCCTTGGGTCTGACAGAGTCATCGCAAGACCGAGGGCAGATGTTGCTCCTGGACCACTGAACAAACTCCCTGAGATCTACTCTGTTCCAAGTTTGGTCTAGGTGCGGGCAGTCCAGACGTAAGCACAGTCACATCCCAGGCTTCGAGGGGCAAGAGAGATGGACTGATGGATGGAGTAATATGCAGGCCCTGTGTTCAAACAGTTCTGAGTTCACACCTCATCTTGGCCATTTACATGGCTGTGTGACGTGGGGCAAGTCACTTCGCCTCTATGAAACTGTTTCCTCTTCTGTAAAATGGGGCCAATAACTGATTATCCATTGATTTGTTATGCAAATCAGATGAGCTGGTGATTTTGCAAAGAACTCAGCAGTTAGCAAAAGGAGTTGTTACTGTTTTTGTTTTTATTATCAGCAAGGGCAGAGCCATGCCAAGCTGGGATGTCCAGCCTGGAGACATCTGGGGGTCAAATTGCCAATCAAATCGGGGGTCACCTTCCACCTCTTTCCGTCTTCAAGCTCCACCCCAAGAGTCTGGGGACAGAAGATGGTCAAGTCTCTCACCAGCCTGGGCCTGAAGGAAACTCAGAGGCAAGGGTGTTGTCTGAGGTCTTAGAGCAAGTAAGGAAAAGAAAGGATTTGAACTGAATCAGGCTGAGAGGGAGGTCCGGACTCCCAAGAAGCTGAAACGAGCAAAACAGAACCTGAATGAGTTTCATATTTGGGCATGGATACAGCTGACGAAAAGCTTCCCTGTTTCAGTCAGGCAGGACCTTTGGACCCACTGGGTTCTCAGACCTGAGGCTGGTGTCAAAATATTCCTGCTTTGTCCCTAGGCTAGGCAAGCAGAAGGCGGGCACAGCTGTCTCCCAGCCCGACTTCAAGATGCAGAAGGTAGGGCCCAAGGGCTCTGGAAGACACAGAGCTGAGTTGGAATCTCAGAGTCCCCTGGTTCCTAGCCATGTGCACTCGGGCAAGTCATTTCATTCCTCTGAGCCTCAATGTCCTCATCTGTTAAATGGTCACAATAATAGGACCTTACAGGGTGGCCACAAAGACTGAGGGGGGTAATCAGTCTATACCAAGTGTAGAGCATATGCCTAGTACACAGTTGGCACTCAATACATGGCATCTATTGTAATAATTTTGGGTGGTATCTAGAGTTCCTGCTACTTTAGAAGAGTGACTACTTCTTGGGGACAAAGAGTGGGGCTCCTCTTATTGCATCTTTTGAGTGAGTCAACCAATCTATCAACATGCATTTGTTGTGCACCTACTGTATACTTGTTTCCATGCTGAAGACACAGTGAAGTGCAAATGTAGGTGACATATATTAAGCATACAATACGTCCTCACACACCCAACCTTTCTGAGCAGCAAGGTCAACTGTCCCCAGACAAAAAAAAGCTAGGCTCAGAAAGGAAAAGAAATTGACCCCATGTCACATGGCTTGTCAGTGATACAGATGGCTTTAAATCCCCTTTTCCTAATTCCAAGTACAGTGGTTTTTCCGCTGGGTAGTGGCTGCCTTTCCTCACCCTGAAGAGTCTCAGAGTCAAGTCAGGCAGATGAGACTAACCCAGAGAACAGTTCATGCTGGCCGGGAAGCGGGGTCACATCAGCCTCGGAACTGACCACAAAGGTCACTGAACTTGAAAATTGCTCTTTCACACTAGTGAGCAAAGAAAGGCAATTTCACACAGTGACATCAGTCTTTTGATTATCAATTAAAAATAATTTGTAAGATGATTATCCTCAGTGCTGGTCCCTTTGTGGGAAAGGCACTGTTTGTAATGCGGGACAAAGTTCAGTTTCTGGAAGGTAATTAAGCAATGTGGATCAGAAAGCCTTTGAGATATTTATTCCTTTTCACATGGTAATTCCATGTCTAAAAATCTTCCTCAAGAGTAGTAAAATAATTTTGTAGGCAAAATTTTATCCACAGGGTGTCCAACGTAGTATTATTGAGACTCACATAAAATTGGGAGTAACCTAAAATGGGTAACAGTAGAGGAAACTTAAAAAAAAAAAGGGTGGTGGGACCTTCTGAGGTCTATTTTGTGTGATTAAAAATAATTGTATTATGAAACAATAAACAGTGTTCAGTAAATAAAACAAGAAACAAAACTGCATGTACTGTGTTTTTTCACTCTCAACATATTAAATGAAAAGATAAATATATACTTTGAACTTCATCTGTGATCATATAAGCAAAGTCTCAAAAGAGGACATTAAAATATTAACATCCATTCATTTGTGTATTTGTCATGCACTTGTTAAGTGTCTACTATATACCATGAACTGTTCTAGGCACTGGGAAAACAGAGAAGTGGACAAGACTAGTCCTGTCCCTCATGTAAATTATATTCTATGGGCTATTGAAAGGAACTTTGTATGGGTTCATGTGTAATTTAAAAATTTCCTTCTTACCACATGTATTACTTGAATAATTTAAATAGAAATTAAAAATAGGAGGGATAGAAGAAGGGAAAAAAACGGGTGCTGAGCTGGGTGGTTCAGACACCAAGGAGGGGCTTCAGAAAAGTGGCCAAGCAGAAAAGGTTAGGAATCCAGGAAGGCTTCCTGGAGGAAGATGAACTGGAAGCAAGTCCAGAGCCACAACAGATACCAATGTAGGCAAAGTGGGGAAGGGAAAAGCATGGGCCCTCTGGAGAAGGTGTGACACTACCCCCTTTTCTCCCAGGTGGTCTACTTCTCAGCCACGTATCCCTACATCATGCTGATCATCCTGTTCTTCCGCGGAGTGACACTGCCCGGAGCCAAGGAGGGAATCCTCTTCTACATCACGCCCAACTTTCGCAAGCTGTCGGACTCCGAGGTGAGCAGCCCTCCCCGCCTGGTCCTGGAGGGCCCTGGCTGGGTTAAGAGCACGCCTGAGTCCTGAGCCACCGTTCACCAGCTTTAGGATAAGCTACTGCACCTCTCTGACCCTCTTACGTGAGAGGGGGTTGCTGCCTGGTGGAGCTGGTTAGCATGTGTAAAAGGCCCTGGGGCTATGATTATAATTTTGACTGTTTTTTGATCATTCTGCCTGTAGGTGTGGCTGGATGCAGCTACCCAGATCTTCTTCTCCTATGGGCTGGGCCTGGGATCCCTGATCGCACTGGGGAGCTACAACTCTTTCCACAACAATGTCTACAGGTGCGAGAGCTCAGGTGCTCTCCTGTGACCACGCCCCTCCACAGACCCACCCCTGGCGGTTCTGCACCCCTCTCTGATCCAAAACCTCTGGCCATTTCTTCCGGTTCTGCCCCTTCCCTAGGGATGGGAGTGGGCACCCCCCGCCCTGTAGCTCCTCTCGCAGGCACCCTCCTCCATCTGGCCCCTTGGTAACCACTGTCCACTGGCTTACCTTCCTGCCAGCCCCGTCTTCCTGACTCCACCCTTCCCTCTCTGCAGGGACTCCATCATCGTCTGCTGCATCAATTCGTGCACCAGCATGTTCGCAGGATTTGTTATCTTCTCCATCGTGGGCTTCATGGCTCATGTCACCAAGAGGTCCATTGCTGATGTGGCGGCCTCCGGTCAGCACCGCACAGAGGAGGGCTGGGGGGAGGGGCTAACTGTGTGGTGTTTGCGGTCTTTATCACCGTCAGCATCACCACCACCGAGGCTCACTGGCATTGAGTGTTGGTACGCGGGGTCAGTGCACTGAGCATTTACGTGGACTGTGCCCCTCAGTCTTCCTGACACAATGGGGTCCATGCTCGTTATCCCTGTTTCATAGATGATGAACCTGAGTCTCACTGAGATCACCTGCCCAAGTTCTCAGAGCTCAAAGATGGTAGATCTAGAATTAACCCCAGACCTGCTGATTGCAAAGCTGGGCCATCCTGGCACTTTCAGCACCATCCTGGACATTTGAGGGGAGAAGACCCACTCTTGTCCCCTGGGATATGAACTTTGGTCCAACCCAGACACGTTCACCACCATGACATAAAGTACCCACATCGGTCTGCGTCCACTCTACTTGCCACGGGGTCATTGATGCTATGCAGTACATGGACAACCCCAGGCAGCCCCCCTTCCCCACTCAGCCTGGAAAGCAGCAAATGTGAAGGACCCACTGGGTGCACGGCAGAGGATCCAAGGCTCAGGGGGCAACATGACTTGTCCTTTCCCTGTTGTGGGGAGCTGGGTGGATTGTGAGGAAAGGAACATTCTCCACCGAAGTCCTAATTTCCCGTCCACCATCTCATTTCTCTGGAACTTCCCAGCCACCCTCTTTCCAGAGCCAGGCCCCAGGAAGGTTACAGTCTGGTTCCTTCATCCAAGGTTTTCTCTGATCTCTTGGCTCTCTTTCCTCTTCTGCCCTTCCCGCCACAGGCCCCGGGCTGGCGTTCCTGGCGTACCCAGAGGCAGTGACCCAGCTGCCCATCTCTCCCCTCTGGGCCATCCTCTTCTTCTCCATGCTGCTCATGCTGGGCATTGACAGCCAGGTGAGGACGTGCCCCCTGGCATCTTGAGGAGTCCCCACGCAGCCTCATAGGTCCAGGAGCAAGCAGGGAGAGGAGCCCATTGTCTTAGGCCCCCAAGAAGATGGCCAAGAGTTTCAGACCCCAGGAATGTTCCACTGCATGAAACTTTCAGGCATCAGCTCAGCCACCTTCCCCATTTCCCAGGTGGGGAACCTGACGCCTGGAGAGAAGGGACTCTCCTGAGGTCACAGAGGGAGGCAGAGGCAGTCAGGCCTGGATCCCAGGGCCCTGCTCACCCCAGAGGGTCAAGCTTTGGGTGGGTGGGGTGGGGCTGCCTTGGCTGGCTGACTGCCACTCCCCCCGCAGTTCTGCACGGTGGAGGGCTTCATCACTGCCCTGGTGGACGAGTACCCCAGGCTGCTCCGCAACCGCAGGGAGCTCTTCATCGCCGCCGTCTGCATCGTCTCCTACCTGATCGGCCTCTCTAACATCACCCAGGTGAGCGCGGTCGGCACCTGGCACTCCTCTGGTGCTGCCTGCCCTGGGCCACTCCCAGGCCCTCTGCGCCCCCACCTCGTCCCATCCCACCTTTCATACGTTCATTGAGCATCCTCTCCATGCCAGACCCTGAGTGACGACCCAGCAAGGGTCCCTGCCCTCAAGGGGCTCCCAGGCTGGTGGACCGAGCTAGAGGATACAGCCCACAACCCGACTTGGGGCACCAGGGACGGCTTCCTGGAGGAGGGGCTGCAGGGTTGAGCTCGAAGGACTCACAAAATTAACCAGCGAGTCACACTGGAGCTGGGCCTTTGAAGCTGACACCACCCCTGCCTCTCATTCCCACCTTTCTTTCTCTACCCATAGTCATGAGCGCTGGTCCCTGCATTCAAGGACCTCCCAGTCTAGCCAGAAGACAGGCATACAACTGAGGAATTACCCAATAAATATAAATGACCCTAAAGCCATGGGCTCAGCCGTGTGGGTCTGTTTTTTTTTTTATGATCCACAAAACCAGCAATGGGCCCAAATACAGTCCAGACTCAGGATGACTGTTCATTCCTTCATCCTTACGAGTTGCTCAGCACCTACTGTGGGCCCGGCACGACACTGGAGAGTCAGCAGTTAATGTTGCAGATGCAGTATCTGCCCTCTTAGAGCTTACATTTTGGTGGATAAGACTAACAGGCAAATTAGATCGTTAAATGCCATGAAGAAAAGAGGACAGTGGGACAGAGAATGACCAGCAGGGGTGGGAGGGATGCAGCATCAGACTGAGTAGTGGGGCAGTCCCTCTGAGGAAGTGACAGTTGAGTTGCGACTCATGTGGCGAGGAAGAGCCAGCCGGGGGAAGATCTAGCTAGCGGAGGCAAGCACAGCAGGTGCAGAGGCCCTGGGGTGGGAACGGGCTTGTGAGCTCAAGGGACAGAAAGAGGGCCAGTGTGGTGGCAGCAGAGGGAGTGAGGGGGGAGGCAAGAGGTACAGAACCGGATTATGCAGGACCTTCCCTGGCAGGCATTTGGACTTGATTTTCTTTTCTATTTCCTTACTTCCTTGCATGTCATATGTCTTATCTAAGCTGTGAAGTGTTTTAATCTGAGGAGAGACATGACGTTTAACATTATGGACAGGTGGCTCTGGGGACCAACTCCTCTTTCTGCCCTCCAGCTGTTCCAGAAAGGGGGCATTTCCCTCTGCCACCAGACATTTGCTTCCAAATCCCCAGAGTCAATGCCCACATCCTTGAAGGATCACAAGGCCCCCTGTGCCTCCTCTAATTCACCCACAAGCTTTCTCACTGTAGCATGGCCTCATCCCAACCTACAAAGCCCGTGTTGACTGTGAACTGAGGGTACTGGGGAGCAGGGGAGGTGGACCCCTCACCTTTTTCCCTCTTGCAGGGGGGCATTTATGTCTTCAAGCTCTTTGACTACTACTCCGCCAGTGGCATGAGCCTGCTGTTCCTCGTGTTTTTTGAATGTGTCTCCATTTCCTGGTTTTACGGTGAGCATCAACCCCTCATTCATTCATTCATTCCTTTCTTCAATCACCATTCAGCAAACACAGCTCTAACACTAAGCCCTTTCCATACATTAATTTGTTTGGTCCTTACAGCAATTCAGTGAAGTTAGCACAGGATGTCCTACGTTTAGAAGATACCATAAGCAGCAGGGACCTACTGCGCAGCTCAGGGAACTGTATTCAGTATCTTGTAATAACCTGTAACGGAAAAGAATCTGAAAAAGAATGTATGTATTTATATAACTCAATCACTTTGCTGTGCACTCCAAACTAACAAAACATTGTAAATCAACGATACTTCAATTTTAAGAAATTGTTAAAAGAAGATACCATAAGAAGAAGAGTTAAATTCACTTAAAATGAGAGCCAAAATTTCTTTATAAATTTTGGGCTAAAAAGTTTGCTCGAGATTTTCTCTAGAAAAGGGAAACTGAAACTTAAAAAAAAAATTACAAAGTTAAGTATTTTTTAAAAGCTAGGTTATAATTAAAAGAATGCACTATCTCAGAACAAAGAATGTGGGAAACAATGATTTTTATTTGTTTATTTTGCGACCAGCGTTTCCAGACCCAACTGCACGATAGTTGAAAGGCTGTCCTTCCCTGCACTGTGGTTATCACAGCAAGATCGTGTTTTTGGAAGGAGTGTTCTCCAGGGCCCCTCTTGGTCCTCGGTGTTCAGTGCATCTTCTTTGCAGTCCTGCCACCTCACCCACCTCGTCATTTTCCCTTCTCACTCTAACTGGTCTAACGCTGTCAGGTCCTCACTGATCAGTGACTTTGCTTGTAATCCGTGCAGTGCCTGGTGTCCCCCTCATGAACTTCATGACATCTGCAGGTTTGGGGGGGCTTTTTGTTTGTTTTTTGCAAGATTTGTAGTTCTTTGTAATCTATCACCAGTTTCTTCTGGCATCAGATCATCAGGGAAAACCACCCCTGCCCAGCAAGGCTTTGAAGAATGGCTGGGAGTGATGTTGAGTGGGAGGGACACTGAGAGTGACGGGGATGCTTTCCACAAGTACATCCTGTTGGTGGCGGGTATTTCCACACGCAGGTGACTCGCTTCCCCATGCACTGTTTGCTGGGGGGTTGGTTGTTCGATATTTAGATAACGAGGACCCCTCCACCCTGGAGCATTAGCCCCGTGTTGCAGATGAGGAAACGGAGGCTCAAAGAGGTTAGGCGACTTGCTGTGGTTGTACTGTGAGAAAGCAGCCGATCGGGGCCTCGGGCCTGCCATCCCCACAGCTCACCCATCCCTCCTGCTCTTGCTCCGCATGTCCCAGGTGTCAACCGATTCTATGACAACATCCAAGAGATGGTTGGCTCCAGGCCCTGCATCTGGTGGAAGCTCTGCTGGTCCTTCTTCACCCCTATCATTGTGGCGGTAAGGACAAGGCCAGACTGGGCTCTGGGGTGGCTCAGGTCCAGAGAGAAACTTCTGGGGCCAGAAGCAGGTGGACAGGCTCCCAGGTCTTCCTGTTCCCTAGTAACACCGTTCCCTGCTGTTTGTGCTGAGCAGCTCCTCTGTGCCCTGCACAGGACCAGACACGTCCTCACAAGCCTCAGCTCAATCAGTGTGGTTGCCCCGCTTTGCTGCTGCGGGACCTGGGGCCACCCAGCCAGCATCGCCCAGGGGGCTGATGCGCATTCACAGCAGGTCACCCTGATTCTGAAGCCAAATCACTCACACAGGGAGGCCTTTCATTCTCAGCATTGCTCCTTGCAAGGGGAAGCCAAGGCCTGGAAGGGGCCTTTGGGACTGGGCCATTGCATGTGTTGTGTCCTGCACAGGGGCACCCAGCTAACGGCAGACTGGTGGCAACGCCCTGGTTCTGCTTGCCAAATTGGTTAACTTGGAGTAAGGGATGCCTTCTTTATTGGCCCTCCCAGAGGAGCCACCCTTTGCTATTGGGCCTTCCAGAGAGGGCACCTTCTTCTTATTGGCTCTCCCAGAAGGGATGCCCTTTTCTATGGGTTCTCAGAGAAAAGGCGCCCTTCTCCATTGGTCCTCCTAAAGAGGGTGGCTTTTTCTATTGGTTCTCACAGAGAAGTCGCCTTCTTCTTATTGGTTTTCCTGGAAGGAGTGCCCTTTTCTATTGGTTGTCATGGAGACAGTGCCTTTTTCTATTGGTCCTTCAGAAGGGGTACCTTTTTCTATTCTGTACAAAGGCATCTTGTATCCTAGCAATGACCTTGGCTGCGGGGCGTCAGCCCCAGGGCAGGGGTGGAAGGCAGTGGACCTGTCATCTGTAGGGTCTAGGGAGGGGCCTTGGCTGTCCAATATGGGTGACTGCCTGCCCCCCTCCACTCTCCCCTGCCCTCCCCAGGGTGTGTTCATTTTCAGTGCTGTGCAGATGACCCCTCTCACCATGGGAAGCTATGTTTTCCCCAAGTGGGGCCAGGGCGTGGGCTGGCTCATGGCCCTGTCTTCCATGGTCCTCATCCCCGGGTACATGGCCTACATGTTCCTCACCTTAAAGGGCTCCCTAAAGCAGGTAAGTCCCTTCTTCACCCTTTGTGTCACTGGGCCCCTTTCCCCTCCTGTGCTGGGCACCACCTCTTCCCTTGTGGAGCACAGTCTAGTTGGGGAGACAGACAAGTTGATAGCCAATGACAAGAGAGCATTAGCAGTCATGATTGAGGTGAACCAGGGAGATGGGTTAGCCCGGCCTGGGTTGAGGAGGGTTTAAGAAGTCTTCCTGAAAGAGGGGATAGCAAAGAAGAGGCCTAAGGACAAGCCAGTCTTAAAAGTAGAAGCAGAAAGAAGGTCCCTAGAAGGGGACAGGAAGCATGTGAAAGGCCCAGGGGTATAAACTGATGTGTGTGACTGGAGGGTAGTGGGGAGCAGTGCAGGGGGGTAATGAGAGGAGGCTGGGAATGTAAGGAGGTTGGGTCAGATCCTGAAGGGCTTTGAAAATCAAGACAAGAACTCTGGTCTGTATCGCAAGGGCAATGGGGAGCCATTAGAGGGGCCCTCCAGCACATATGAGGTCTACATCATTCTTTGTTAAATTATGTTGAATTCTTGAGTGAAACAAGGCAGTGCTGGAGGCACCCAGGTGCTGAGACATTGGTGGAGTAAGTATAGGTGGGGAGATTTCACTGAGGAGGGACGGAAGGTCACAGCTAGGGGGACTGGATCAGTGGGAGGTTCACCCTTTCAGCGACATATATTGAATACCCACTATATGCCAGACACTATTGTCAGTGCTGGAGACAGCCATGAGCAAAAATGCCACCCTTGTGGACCTTACCTTCTACAAGAGGAAGGTCAACAATTAACAAAATAAAATCACATTAGATGGGGGGGGTGAGTATGATGGCGAAAGAAACCTAAAGTAAGAAGGGGGTTTAGGGGGTGCCAGGAAAGGCCTCGCTGAGGAGGTAACACTGAGCCAAGACCTAAGGAGGCAGAGATGGAGCTGTGTAATTATCAAAGGGAAGGATGTACAGGCAGAGGGTACAGTACATGCAAAGGCCCTGAGGCAGGCACTTGCTTGGCACGTGTGAGGAGGCCAGTGTGGCTGGAGTGGAGTCAGTGAGCGGTGAGGGGAGAACGTTGGGGCCTGAAGTGACAGGCACCAAGTCATAGGGGGCCTTGTAGGACTTTGGTGAAATGGGCACCATTGTTAGGTCCTGAGGAGCAGAGGGCTGTGATCTGACTTTGGTTTTAATAGAACTCCTCAGGCCAGGGTGTCGAGAATAGAATGAAAGGTGTGAGGGGCAAGAATGAAAGTGGGGGGCCAGTGGGGAGTTACTGCAATAACCCCGGTGAGAAGGGGGGGGCATGAGGGGAGCAGGATGGGGCCAGAGCCTGGGTGCCCCTGGAAGGCAGAGTAGATGGTAGAGACTTGAAAAGAGGGTGGGTGAACGGAGTGGTTAGTCTCTATCCCAGCCCAAAACCACTGTCCACAGCGCATCCAGGTTATGATCCAGCCCAGCGAAGACATTGTCCGCCCTGAGAATGGTCCGGAGCAGCCCCAGGCCAGCGGCTCTGCCAGCAAAGAGGCCTACATCTAGGGGTGCGGGGTGGCTCGCCCACCCACACTCTCACCCCCACCCCTGCTGCACACGACCACCACGGGATGTCTGAAGATATCGTCTCTCTCAACCTACCTCGAGTGGCGAGTCCAGACACCATCACCACACAAAGAGAGGGAGGTGGGGACAGTCACACCCCCGTGGGCCCCGCGTGGGCGAAGATGCCCAATGGCTCTGGCGCCTGTGGGCTGGTGATCTTTTTAATCTGGGCCCCCTGAGCATCAAGCAGTCGGCCTGTGTGACCGCTGTGGTAGATCATGTTTATCCCGCCAGCAAGAGTGTGACTGGTGAGGCCGCACACTCCTGGCTTTTAGTTGTATTCCTGACTGTTCTCTTACCGCTGAAACCCATGACTGTTACCTAGGCCTTGGCGGGAGTCCGGCTCCGTCGGAACGCGGCTCTGTGCACATGGAAAGGGCATTTTGTACAATGGGCATTTCCAAGGAGAGCTCACGCTTAAGAGCAGGGCGCCAAGGGAGCTCTTTTATTTTTTGGTTTTCTCCTTCCCGAGGCAGCTTGACAGCCCCCACCCTCTGTTGATCTTCCCAGAGCTGCTTTCTCAAGCAATCTGCATAGTGTCCTGTTTCCCTGCGGCGCCCGGCCGAATGGGCATCTCTGCGCTGAGCTTTCCTGTCCCCCGACTCGTTGCCAGGCCATTCCAATTGCACCTGGCCCAACAGCAATCCTGCCAGATGGGCCCCACTCCTTAGAAAACTGCCACAAGCACAGCTGATTTTTTTTTTAATCACCATTCCAGGGGGCCTAAGATCCTGCTGGGGAAATTACCTAATCAGGAGTTTTTCTTAGGCTGCCCGGCTTTACAGAGCACGGAACTGTTGCCCAGGAAGTTAAGGTGAGGCTCTGTCCTTGAGTCAAAGTGGATCCAGTTATCTTTCCACCACCACCCCCGCCCCCGCCTAAACTATCTCCCTCACTGCAGCCCCAGT